GTACTACGATAAGGAGCTAACAGTTAATCAGTGCTAACATCAAATTTTGAATAATTTTTTGATAGATAATTTGAGGTTTTGTACTGAAATATATCATAATATTAGAAATATAATTAATTAAAATTGGCTAACGAAATCTAGCAACTAGCGAGATATCGCAAGACTTGATCCTTTTAGTATATATACAATGTACATACATGTACGTCCCTGGAACTCCATTTTGCTGGGAGGGACACTTTTATAACAACTATATCTTAAATAATTTAAAAAGATTAATTAAGCAAATTAATTTCGAATCAATAAAGGAGAAAAATCTGCAAATCAAACCGAAGGCGGGTCTTTTATTATAGAGGCAGGTCGGACCTTATATGTTATCGTATTAGGTCCCCCCGGACCTTTAAACAAGGCGGACCAAATATTATGCGACAGCGGTCACGCAGTTCAATGACGTTGTAAAAGCAAGAAAGTTCATCTTTTCAGTACTTTTTATTTACGTTTGATACCGATTCACACAGAATTTGAGTAAAACTAATAGCAATTGAAAGCTACATTGTTAAAGAACATACTTCTTTTCGCTTGTTACTTATACACAAGGGTACAAATTCAGCGATCGAAATTTTACCGGACTGCTTCAAAACCGCTAAAATAAGCCAAAATTAGCACCCTGCTAAAAATTCCCGTTATACGGTATTTCGGGTTTACAAAACTTTCAATGACCATCTACAACAATTGATTTTTTTACTCCAACAAATAGTATATCATTTAAAGATGTAAATATGGAGTTTATCTATTTAATTTCAACATAGGGTTTCAGTAATTTACCCCCCAGGGAAAAATATTCTAAGCAATAAAGTGCTGTGAACTGAAATCACTGTTACTTACTATTCAATTTTTACTCACACTCCTCATTTAGTTCCTCTAATTAAGGATCCCACAAATACACGATTTATCTAAACTTTTTTGAGCCCTGCATGAAAATGCACGAGCCCAATAGAAATTTCACTGTCCGGCCGTCTCCGTCAACACTAAGTCTTTATCTCTGTACTTGTGACGAAATAACTCAAATATATATAGTGTCAATGATATGTTTTCAAATTTTGTACATACAAATGTAAGTTCTTAAATATATGAGGAAGTGCCTTCTAGATTTTGGGAACCATCCATATCTTTTCATTTATCTGTCCCTCAACACTTGTTGTGACACAGTAACTCAGATTTCATTGATATGTTTTCGAATTCTGTACATATGTACTTTGGCATAAAACCAAGAAAAGATTTTATGATCCATCTGTCTGACCATCCGTCCGTATGTCCCCCAATACTATTGTTGTGATTCCATATTTCAAACAATTTTCAACAAACCTTTTTTTTTTTTAAATTTGTACATAAGTACTTTACTATAAGCAAAAGAGAATATCACCGTCTGTCTGTACACTGGATATTTGTTTGAAGTATATCCAGGGCACTTTTTTGTGGTCTACATGTATATTTCAAATAGTTTTCAATGTAATTTTAAAATTTTGTACATAGTTAGTGACCTGAAATATATGGAGATAACGAAGAGTATTCAAGTTCAAAAGTCCATTAAACATTACAAAATAGGTGCAGAGCAAACACGGACCTCCAAAACATCAGAGGTGGGATCAGGTGCCATGGAGGAGTGAGTATCCCCTGCCGACCGGTCACACCCGCCGTGTGCTCCTTGTCATGATCGGGAAATAACGGAAAAATCCGTCGACAATTCAGTGTGTAAATACTGGCCTAACAATTAGTATGAAAAACTTCAGTCAGCATTTGACTCTAATAGCAAAAAAAAAAAACACCTACAGACCTGTTTGCTGTTTGTATGTATGTTTAAATATATGTCCTTAACACTTGTTTTTACTCGATAATTCGTACAATTTTCAACGCTAAATTTAAAATTCTACGCAGAAGAACGTTACTGTAAGAGAGGTGTAATGAATTTAAGGTTCATATCACTTTGTCTGTATGTATGTTTGTTTTCTAATTCTTTAACAGCACTTAGCGGGACTCTGTCAGTTTTCTAGTTTATTGAGATTTCAAGAATCTTGTTCTTACTCTATGGTTTTGTTGGAATATTGCTGTGATCATTATTTATTATATACCCAACTGTTTGTCACTCAGTTTTACTGTTGAATTTATGCAATCACGTGACGGTGTGATCCGACGTTCCGGATAACCACACTAGTTTTCTGAATCCATATCACCCCTTTCTGAAACTGATGACTTAGTACACAGATAAATGACGTTTTTATTCTCGCGCATCAAAAACTTCCTTGACAAAATGGTTTGTTTAATGTATAAAAATTATGTAATTGATCCAAAAAGTTTTTTTTATTACATTTTGCTAGTTTTAAAGGGGAATATAATGAATTTATCATTACAACAATAACTTGATCCAAAGAGCCGTATCACGTCTCGTTGACAGGCGCGGATCATCAGATCAAACTTGAAGCTTCGCGTCTTGTTTGATCTGATGATCCGCGCCTATCAACTTGACGTGATAGGGCTCTTCGGATCAAATTACTGTTATAATATATATATATATATATATATATATATATATATATATATATATATATATATATATATATATATATATATATATATATATATATATATATATGAACTTTTCATAACTGTCTGAAGAGCCAACATGGCTGAAAGCGCTAACAGTAAAGATTTTATTTAATTTGGACTGTAGCATTCTGTTTTCATTTATTTAAGTATTTTTTACTGTACCAAGAATTTAACTTATCAACGTATATATATATATATATATATATATATATATCTGTATCTCTGTATGGTGTTTGTCATGGATTATCCGCGCTTTTATAACGTTAACTCTATTTTGACGCCATAATGCTTTACGTTTCTATAGATAATAACAAGTCTCTAAATAGACCAGTTTACGATCAAGACGTGTTTTCATACCTTTCCTATACATTCCACAAGAATTAAACCAATCAAACGTAACGTCCACAAACTCAAGTTTTATGCTAAAATAATTAACACAGTATATAGTTTTGGTTATGATGTGAATAAGTGTATTTTGATAACAAAATATAAGAATTCCTTATATATGTACAGATGTATCTAAGTAAAGTTTGATTATTTTTGATGAAGACAATCTTTCGTACAATTCTTGTAATTTTATTCAAATGACTTCAATCAATTTGTATATATGTAACAGGTTTTGGGTGATTGAAGAATAACAGCCTGTTGAGGGTTCTTTTGACAAGACTTTATTGCCAGATAAATGAGAAAATCAAATGAGGAAACCCTGCAATATTAACAATATTACAAGTGTAAATATGAGCATAAAAATAATACAATGATTGTCAAGGGAGATAATTCATCATACATAGAATATACATATATTTCTCCACAATAAAAGAACAATCAATTCTCATCATAAAACTTTACAATAATTATCTTCGTAATGTATTTGAACATTATATATTACTGAATAATCATAAAATCATTATATGCATACCATTCTATGGGAATTGGTGTGTAACTGCAAGCAATAATGTTGCATATATACAATGCCATACAGTCTCAGAGTGATCTGTAGATTTATTAACACAATATTACACACCAGATCATAAAAATATGTTATCTTAAAAATATATAACAATGAGATCTTTCTATTTACATCATACTTTAAAATATCATTCTCATTGATCTCATTTACTCAGGGAATTCGAAAGTGCTTGGGAAATAGATCAAGTATGCAAAATTACAGATTGGACATTTAATTGAAATATTAGAATCATATTAGTATTAGCAATAAATTGTTAACTTACCAGAAGGAGAAGAAAAGTCGGTCTCTATAAAAAGGTCATAGTCAATATGTCAGACAACAAAATATACACATCTTAACTAACCAACCTCTGGACAAAGAATGTCCAGAAAACTAAGAACCTCCTGGAGGGAAAAACATGAACCAATCCCCAAGTAAAATACAAACTAAAACACCAATGAAATTAAAAGAAACATCCAACATAAGGCCTGGATATAATTAATGACCTAAGGCCATTTCTATCTATATACACCTATTGACAGACCATGAGTGAATGCACACAAAAGGCTTTAAACTGAATAAGTACATGCATATTATTCAATATGTGCATTTCAAATCAAAATAAATATGAAATATGACACTTATAATACATGTACATAATATATACATGTATGCAAAGAAAAATAATAAAATATGCATCTGCCACATTTATACATTTTACAATTTGTATTTAAACACTTTGTATCCCATCCATGTGAATATATAATACATAGTAATTTATGTATAAATACTGTAAATATATTATATTTAGCGTGCATATTTGGCGGAAACTGATTTTTTGAACAAATTAGCACAGATTTGATTTAGCGCATTTATTTATATTCTTATTTATGTGTATATGTACAATACATCTAGCGTTGTACTTAAATTAGCGGAAGTTGCTTTCCGCCAAAAGCGCTAAAAAGAATACACAGCCAAATGTAATATTCTTACAGTACATTTTACACCGTGTCTCGAAAAATTTTGACAAGTTCTTTACGTCGCCGCGTGGCGCAGTGGTTAGAGCGTCTGCTCTAGAGTCGCAAAGTGAGGAGTTGATCCTTACGTCGCGGGTTCGAATCCCACCGTGGGACGTGGAGACGTCCTTCGGATGAGACCGTATAAACCGAGGTCCCGTGTCGCGGTAGGTGCTGGCACGAAAAAGATCCCTCACTGCTCTCCACCGGCAAGTGGTAGCGTCTCCATATGAGTGAAAAATTCTCAAGAGGAACGTTAAAAAACAAACAAACAAAACAAGTTCTTTACTGTGTTCCTCCACAGTGTAGACTTTTACAGGGACAGTGACTACTGCGTTCTCTCTTCACATTTAGCAATGTTCTTTAATTTATGGATTTACTGTTTGATGATTTTTGTGAAGAAATCATGTAATCTCAAGTCATGTGTCTTCTATTTACATTCTGTATTCAAACACTTTGACAAATCCTTTCCAGTATCCCACCCACAGTGTAGAGTTGTACAGGGACAGTGCGTATGGAGAGGTCACTTCATTGTCTGTCAGTAAGAACTTTAAGAACTCCCCTTCAGAATTCAGCAGATGGATCTGTTTGTTGCTAATCACAGTAACAAGGATGTTACAGAGGGAGTCACACACTACATCAGCTGGATCAAAGTTCTTTGTCACGTTCTGTCCACGGTAGACAGACTTCATGCGACCAGAGGGAGGCATAATCACTAGTTCACCTGTAATTAGATTTGTATGGTTCACAACACAGATATCACCATTATTATTTTGTGTGACTCTGTCTGGCAATGTAAAAAGTCTGGTCTGACCGTCCTCCTGGTACTCATACTCATGGACGACATCACCTGTCAATGTGATGTGTCTCACTAGACGTCTGCTCCGTGACTCTAATTCGTAAATATCGGATACATTGTCTCTCAAAGTGACCAGTAGTCCACTGTCCAATGACTGACACATTCCCATTGGAAGCAGTGGATCTGTACTGATGACTGTAGAGACAGATCCTGATGGTGACAGATAACCAATGGAATAATTATCATCATCACTGAAATATACATCACCGTTATCAGCTACAGACATACCATTAGGTTTAATTCTAATTTTAGGTTCTTTTATGCCTTGCTGATTGACTTTTTCTATATATTTTGAATTTAACTCATTTATGTAACATTGGTCTTCACTTAATGTCCCTAATAATTGTATAATTTGACTACCATATTGAAATGCGTTTATTTGAGTCACACCAATGTCATCTAAATCCAAAGTTTTTCCAACCAAAGATTCAAATAAGTCATCATTGATTTCACCTCGAATGTACCGCACTGAATATTCACAGTTTGTCACATGAGCCTCTAATTCAGACAGCATTTTTGTCATTTCTCTGATGTTGTAAATCAAGCTGTAATCTGACATGGTGCTGTTGTTCTCCTCCATGAATTCCACAGTATGAACAATTCCTTTCCTCTTTTTTTCTAACTCGGATTTCACATGATTCAGTTGATCATTTTTTCTAACCAAGTTGTCTTTCAGTGATTTTTCATTGCGTTTTTTGATTTCAGTCATTCTGGCCATCATCTCATCATAATGCTTCTCTACCTTTTTAATCTCAGAATCACAGAGTTCTTTATTTTCTGTGATCTGTTTTGATATCTTCTCATCAATCCCAGGCAGATCCTCCTCCTTAATCTTTGTCAGCAATGTAAGCAGATCTCTCCTCCATTTGGTGGCTGCTGTAGATAAAGTGTTCCATTCGTGATCTCTATGATCTGTTTTGGCACACTTGGAACAAATAAATTCATCACAGTCCTCACATATAATATCAATACGTAATCCATGGTATACACACATTTTAATGTGTGCTAGAGGAGAGCCCAGTGGATATTCATTTGAGAAACTTTCAGCCATGTTTGTGTGGTGTGGTTAACTTGGAAATGACCTAGTTTTAGTATGCGTGTTAGATAATTACCTGGATTGTGAAGTCGGACTTTAAATTTATCAAAAGACAACTAAATGTGCAATGAATTGTAAACATGCAGTTTATTTCTCTGTATGTATGTAACGGATATATGCCGAATACTTTATTTGTTATTTTCTATTGTTTTTTATATTTCTGGTCGTTTTAAACCTTGATTTCACTCTGCAATTGGTTTTTAAATACTGTCCGATTTTATTATCACTGCCGTCCGATAATATAATGTTTGACTGGAAATTATTATTATTGGACGGCAACAGGTAAACTTTTAGACTGCAAGAACAAAGGCATGGCGTCACAGCATATTTTTAAGTGTATGTTTGTCTTCTTAATCCATCGAGATTTCAAGACTATGCGGTTTGTTTAGAAGAATGCTGTGATAATTATATCTCGATCTATACGGTATTAAACCAATCAAACATAACGTACACAAACTAAAATTTTATTCTTTATATCAATTCTCTATAAAAATCAAAATTTTAAATGGGGTCGTGGACATGACATGTCTCAGATTTACCTGAATTTCACTGCATTTACTACAATTGGCATATCTTTTCAAACATATAACAAACTTTTCAATTTGATTGGCATAGTAACAGTAACAAGGATGTTATATTTAGACCTCTCAGAGTAAGCAAAATTTGCTATGTTTTAATCTTAATGATTGCAGATACACTGATTTAGTGCAAATTGTCGTGAAAAATTACTTTTCTGAACTCACGTATAACTGAAATTTAAGTAATAAATTCCATTCAAGATATTTGAATGGAAAATAAGTCAATTTTCATAGCTGCATTAAGGTTGCCAGAAAAATTGGCAATTTGTCAAAATTTGCTTTTTTGGTTAAATTCATTGAAATATTTCCCCATTTTGACAACAGATTTATTTGTAACTATATACCATTAAACAGACTACCGTTCACGGTAGCTCAGTCGGTAGAGCGCTCGCTCCGTGATCGGGAGGTTGTGAGTTCGAATCTCGGCCGCGACTGACCTAAGTCGATAAAAAATAGGTAGCAACTGTTCCTTTGCCATGCGCTCGGCACTTTGAAGTGAAAGTTGCGGGTCCTTTGGATGAGACCTTAAAAACCGAGGCCCCGTGTCACGGCAGGCGTTGGCACGATAAAGATCCCTCACTGCTCAATGGCCCTAAGTGCCGAGTAAAGGTCAAAATTTGAAGCCCTTCACCGGTATATGGTGACGTCTCTATATGAGTGAAAAATTCTCGAATGGGACGTAAAACAACATACAATCAATCATTAAACAGACTAAATATTCTGAGGATTTATAAGAATAAAAAAAAAGTGGGTAAATGTGCAGTTTTCTAGAAATCATTGCATAACCCCCCCCCCTTCCCCATAAATTTCAAAGAACATCTAAGAACACATCTTAATTACCAAATTGTACAATTTGTTAGATAATATGAATTTAAGTCAAGTCTTCAAATTTCTTTTAAATAAAAGAAATTCTGCAATTTACTCAGGTAAATCGACATGTTGACATGGAAACAATTGATGCTTCTAGTTTTTTCATTCTAAATATGGAATAAAATAGACATTTTCCCATAATTCTTCAATTTCTTCTAATGGTCTGTAATTGTTTTCTGGTCAAATTTTTAAATGTTTAATTAAGAGGGCTGGGTGGTTGTGGCCATTTTCAGATTATATTGATCTCCTTTAGAAGAAGAGCTTCATATAAAGATATACAAAAATGATCAAATTTTAAAACTAAAATGTATGAAATTTTTGTTTGCCAAATGATAGTTGACAGCTTAAGATATCATATCTAAACAATTAAGTTATATCTGATGCATGGTTAATTTGTTGACCCCCCAGCCTTCTTAAAATGAAATCAGATTTAATAAATGATTTAAAAGTATCATTTGAGATGTGAAAGTGCGTCAGACTACATAATGTCACGAACAAGTTGGCAATATGCCAAATATTGTGGAATTGTGAAAAATCCATCTTGCATTAATTTTTATGACTTTTTGTAATTTGGCAAACCTTTATAGCGTCTTTAAATATAAAAGTGTTGTGGTATGGTATAGATATAGATTATAGAGATTTACAGGTACAGATTTTTTTGCTACAATAACAGTGATTTTTCTTGAAAATCAATTGTCTATATGTCCTTTGAATGTAAAATTAAGAGTTCTTCAACTTATTATGACATTGCTTATCAGAAAATTTAGTTGATCAGTTATTTTACATACAACTTGCTTGCAGTTACAACTTTAACATAGAATCCAGTGCCAACTCTTTCTTAGTATTGTTTAAATGTATTCATATTACTAATCATACATTGCATACAGTGTAAAGCCGGTATCAAACAAGAAATCTGTGAGCCGACTCACTAGTAATACCCCCACTCTGATGTAATATATGCTCTGATGTGAAACGGACAGATACATGGATAAACAGGAAGTTGACATCGAGTTCGTACAAAAATAAATCCCACCATATGACATGCCTAAACAAAGAGTGTGCTAGAATTTCAAGCATCAAGCATTTACAATAAGTAGCTGCTGAGAAAACTGCAATGAAACTTTGGTATGGAGAGATTCATGGATGAACAGGAAGTTCACATCTGATTGGTACAAAAAAAAAACCCCACCAAATGGCATGCCAAAACAAAGTTTGTGCTAAAATTTCAAGCATGTGCAAAGAGTAGTTGCTGAGAAAAAGAAAAACTGACAAAAATTTGTTACGGACAGACAGACACACAGTCAGACAGACAGACAAACAGAGGTTAAACAGTATAACCTCCTCTCCTTCAGAGCGGGTATATTAAAAAAGGGAGAAACTGCTTCCTTCCATAATACTGCTTTTAGAGAAGAAATAAACATGACATGGGAATACAGGAATATAGTGATCTATTTCAAATATACAAGAATATAGAATACAAATTTACATGAAGGAGAATAGAATTCTCAAAGGAATATACATGCTATGCTTAAGAAAAATATCTGCTAAAATTTGTTCCTTCAAATCCTCTGATTTCATGTCAGCCTCGGCTGCCTCAAAATCACATTCCTTTTTGTCCTTTTGGCAAGTCTCAAAGAATAGCCACAAAAAATAAACAATTTATATTTAAACAATTTCATATTCCCTTCTTATATATCTCATCCATGTAAATGAATTCCATAATTTATGTATGTTACATGTTACACTGTAATGTGTATTTAAAAATTTTGACAAGTCCCTTATGGTATCCTACCCACAGCGTAGACTTGTAGGGGGACAGTGAATATGGATGTTTCGCTTCATTCTCTGTCAGCAAGAACTTCAGAAACTCCCCATCAGGAATCAACAGATGGATTTGGTTGTTTCGTGGGTCTGTTACAAGGATGTTACAAAACGAGTCACACACTACATCACCTGGATTAAAGTTTTCTGTCAGGTTCTGTCCACAGTAGATAAGCTTTGTACGACCAGTGGGAGATATAATCACTAGATTACTTGTAGTGTCACTTGTTTGGTTCACAACACAGATATCACTGTTATTGTTCTGTGTGACTCTGAATGGCCATGTAAAAAGTCTGGTGTGACCGTCCTCCTGGTACTCATACTCATGGATGACATCTTCTGCCAATGCCATGTGTCTCACCAGACGTCTGCTGTGTGAGTCTAACTTGTAAGGATCTGAGTTTTTTTCTCTCAAGGTGACTTGGAGTCCACCGTCCACTGACTGAGATATACCTGACTGAGAGGTACCAGTGGATCTGTACTGATGTTTGTGATGACAGATCCTTGTGGAAACAGACCTCTGATGGAATTATTACTATAATCAATAAAAAAACATTATCGTTATCAGTCACACACATGTCATTAGAAGTGATCCTTAATCGATGATGTTTTTCGCCTTGCTGATTGATTTTTTCTGTATATTTTGATCTAAGTTCACTTATGAAACATTGGTCTTCACTGAATGTCTCCAACATATTGATAGTTTCATTTCCGTATTGAAATGAGTTTATTTGAGACCCACCAGTATCATCTAAATCCAAAGTTCTTCCAACCAAAGACTCAATTAAGTCATCATTGATTTCACTTCTAGTGAACCTCACTGAATGTTCACAGTCTGTTGTATGAACCTCCAATTCAGACATCATTTTCGTCAGTTCCTTAATAATTTCTCTTTTCCTTTTGTCATACTCAGATTTCACATGGTTCAGTTGATCATTCTTATTTATCAAATTTCCTCTCAAAGTTTTCTCATGGTGTTTTTTGATATCTGTCAGCCTGGTCATTATCTCATCATAATGCTTCTGAAGCTTTTAATTTCAGCTTCACACAGTTCTTTATTTACAGTGATCTGTTTTGATATCTTCTCTTCAATCCCAGGCAGGTCCTTTTCCTTGATCTTCGTCAGAATTTAAGAAGACCTCTCCTCCTTTGGCTGGCGACCGTGGTTAGAGTTTTCCAATTATGATCTCTGTGATCTGATTTTGCACATTCAGTGCAAATGAATCCATCATAGTCCTCACATAAAATACCAATAGGTAATTCATGGGATTCACACTTTTTGATGTGTGCTAGAGGAGAGCCCAGTGGATATTCTTTTGAGAAACTTTCAGCCATGTTTGCCGGTGTAGCCAACGTTGTTGGTAATGACCTAGTTTTAGTATGCTGCCTAGTGTGTGCTTGTTTGATGCGAAGCGAAAAAAGATATGCAGTGAATTGTTAATGTACAGCTGTGACATTTACATGAGATATTGACTTGAACATCAATAATTGTTTCGCAATGTGATACATGTATAAATTTTCAGTTGTTCAAAAGTGGTAAATGAAAGTCATTTTTGAATTAAATATGAAAAACCTCTTGATTTTTACATTTTTAATTCTTCTCCTTAGAACCACTGGGTCAAATTTCAAGCAAATTCAGGAACTAATGTCTTTTCATTATATGATCAATAGAGCCGTATCCTAACACCAGAGGCCCTAGACCCAGGGGCCAATAAATTCACAATTTTCGAAGAGGCACCCTTGATTGTCATAACCACGCCTAATTATATTTGATGTTTGGGGCAGAGAAAATTTTAAAATAGTTTTGCGATACATATTCATTGACAACGGAGCCCCGCCCTAATCCCAAACCCCTGACCCACGGATTATGAATTTCATTATTTTGGAAGAGGTAACTTTGCTCATCCTATCTATCTAATTAGTTTCTCTTAGCTATTAGTTAGCTATGAGAAGAAAAGAAGATGATATGTATACAACGAATTTAATGTGCCTTTTTCTTACATGGCTATAAAGTCCTGTCCTAACACCAGAACCCCTGAACCAGGGGCCACGAAATTCACAATTTTTGATTGATTGATTGATTGTTGTTTAGCGTCCCTCTCGAGAATTTTTCACTCATATGGAGACGCCACCACTTGCCGGTGGAGGGCTACAAATATTGACCTGTACTCGACACTCAGGGCCATTGAGCAATGAGGGATCTTTTTCGTGCCAGCACCTACTGCGACACGGAACCTCGGCTTATACGGTCTCATCCGAACGACCGGTCTCCGTGTCCCGAAGTGGGATTCGAACCCGCGACGCAAGAATCAACTCCTTACTCCTTACTTAATTTTTTACCCTTCACCCATTAATGAATTTTTGCCGAAACTAGTTGAAATTGGCCCAACGGATCAAGAGAAGAAGCTGGAAATAATCAAAAGCATATGACCGACGTGTGTCCGGATGATAATAGAGAAAATCAGATAATAAAAGGTAACCTTCGTGACTCAGTTGACTTAAAAACCTTATCAAAAACAGCGAATCGAGCCCTTATTAGTCATATTAAAATCAAATAATCTCACAAAATGCTAATTCATAATTATTTGAATCCTATCTCCAGGGGTAAGGTGTCAAGGCTCATCTGGACATTTGTGTTCCCGAGCAAACTTTAATGACTTTAAACAAGACTTGTGCAACCGATATTTTTTTTCATCAACTTATTTGTTTATAGCATGCTTCGTTTTAAAAATTGTTCAAATGCCCTTGCATAATGATTCAACTAGGAGACATAAAACCCATGTGCAGGTGATTAAGATAAATCGTTGCATAAGGGAAGTTGACGACATAAAAGTTGTCATCAGATTTATCATAAAATTTTGCTGTTATATTTAGATTACCATTAATGTCTTTTTTAGAGTAAAATATCCAAATATGAAACAGCTGTGTCAGACTCTATGGTATCTTTTATTTCAAGTTCACTGGGATATATCGATATATCAATGGAAGTAACTATTGTTAATTGATAATACGCCGTCGATATATCTAAATGTCGAATTGAGGGCCACAGCAAGTGTTTTTTCTTCTTCTCTTTTATAAGTTTTTGAATTAATTCTGCTTCATATGAATACAACAATAGGTCTAATAACGGGGCGCAATAGGTATCCATGGGAATTCCGACAGATTTTTAGAAGACCTACCTGAACTCCAATCTACTAGATATTACATGTAACAATCAGAAACGCAAGTATCTTTTTAATATCAACTTTGGAGTACTTGTGTGTACAATTAGAAATTTTTGTAACAAAATAATTTTGCAAATGACGAATGACAAGCTAAGTAAATTTACGAGTTCCATTTTGTTGAAAATCCAGCAATCTATGCCATCAAAAAGCTTGGACTTTAATTCATCGTGGGAAATGGTTGCATAAAATGTTGAAAAGTCGTACGCTTTGATGTTATTGATTTTGTAATTCAAATTTTCTAAAAGTTTCTTGGAGGTTTTAAGTATCCACGTCTGATTTACACCACTTCACATTTATTTTTGTACAGTATTCCTGAAGTTTCTCCTTCACTGCTGTTAATAATTTAGTGAGGAATAAGGAAAGAGGCTTGGTAGATTATTTACTGGAACACGCTATGTATCGTTGTTTGGGATTTTATGAAGTTTAGGAACCTAGTATAAGTATGGTAACTCAGATTCATTTTGATTGTAGGGAATATAAACAATACTTCAAACTGACGTATGATTTTGAAGAATTCCCTCCTTAGAAGCGCTTGGATTATTTACATCCAATCTAATGAGGCTTCACTGTATATCGAGTTCAAGTTAGATTTATTTGAGTTTTAATGGCATTCGTATTGAAACTGGTTCTTGGAAATAGATGAAGAGCTAGGTTCACTTTATCCATAAGATGGCCCTGTACTTAACTACCAATTAACTGACCAAGTCCCAATTGCAATGTCCCACTTCAAACATCAGTATAAAGTAGAGACTTATTGCGTTCATTTCCTATAAAAAAAAAAGTTTCCTCTGGGAGTTCAGGTATTTAAAAACGGGCTTTCAGAAATTGCAATGTTCTTGAATTTTGAGGAAAATGGGTGGATATGAGTACCTTCAGTGAAGAATTAAAATATGAGCCCACCCGTCAATCCAAAATTAAAACATGGACTGTAATCTTCTGAAACAATTTTTCCATTATATAATTGAACATTTTGGATCAGAGATTAGAATATATGCAAAATATTGAAAAACATCATTTTTTGGCCTTTTTGTACTTTTCCAAAGTTTATCATTATAGTTTCTCATATATCATTGGGAAAATTATCAAATCTCAAATATATTTTCAGGAAATGCGAATAAAAACACCAGCTATGCATTTTCTAATTGAAAATAGATCAACAAATATATTTTTGGATAAAATAAAAATAGTATCCCAGGCATTTGGAGGAAACTGCATCTTTTTTATGCTTGTATTTCAGTTCTTCTTTTTACTTTAATTGTTAAGTAATACATCGTATAAAAAGTTTGTGCTATCATTGCTAGACATCACATATCACGTCTAATTTCATATATGCTAATAAGCATTGGTATCTAATGCTAGATTAAAGGAAATTTGATTTCTCTAAAAATGAATTTATGTATTTTTTTTCTTTTATGGGGTACAAAGGGGTACAAGTCCATTTCTAAGACTTCAAAGAACCTTGAACCATATTGAGATGCATAAAATGAAAATTGTTGAACGAAAAGATCTAAATTTCAAGCTTCATTTTGAGACTTTTTAAATAAAATACTAAATTTAAGAGTTATCCTTCCTGCTGAGGATCGAACATCCTTAATGGCTGCATTAATGACGAAATCCCTGGTCATTTTTAAATTGGATTTATAATGTATGTCTTTTCAATGTCAAGCTAACCATTGCCAGAAGGTTGTGTCAGATTCTATGCAATAATCAACCAATTCATCTAGAAGCAATTCATGTCCACACTATTGAGGGACGAGTGCAGTCTGCAATACATCAGATGTTCATCTCATATATTTTGAGCAAGATCAAATGCAATGTTTAGGACACCATTGATACAATCTATTTTCAAAATACCATTTTGCGATATACATGTGTACGTAAGAAAGTTTATATTTTTATACTTTCAACCAATTTTCGTTTACTATAATTTTTTATACAATGGTAATGTTCCCCAAAATCAATCATTTAAAGTCAGCAAAACTAAGAAATGTCTTCCACTTATATGTACCAAAAATATAAATGACATGCATTGTAACATGTGCACAGATCTGCTATTCAAGGACTGTTTTACTGATCTCACAGAAAACCTAATTTTAATCACACTTGCCAAAATACAGGTTTTCATGAATGGATTTGTTGTCTTTTTGAAGGGCACGTCCTCTGCCATAGGAAGATAATAATAAATATCATGGCCCCGGAAACTTAAGTGAGGCAACAATAATGGTTCCAAAGTTTTATGCAGACATTTTAATGGACAAAAAATCTAGAGAACTACAATTAACTACTCCAATATAATCTAAAAATGTTGTGGTTCTTTTCGGTGTTGATATCTGCCAAGAAAGCTCTAATGGTAGAGCACCTGACTAGAGATGCAGGGGTCCCGGATTTAATTCCCGTAGTTGCATACATTTCCTCCTTTCCTTTTACCTTAAAATTGCTGCCACAGATCATGACCACCCCTGAACTTGCAAGTGAAAGTCCTGCCATGAGCAAATAAGAACTTGGGTTTTGTCTTCGAGGGATAGGACAATTTAAGTTGGGAGAAATGTAATGGTTTGGGCCGTGGATATCAGCCTGGAAAGCTCAGTAGAGCACCTGACTATTGAAGCAGGGGTCCCAGATTCTATTCCCTGTCTAGCCATACATGTTCTCCTTTCCTGGTACATAAATTTACAGGAAACCATTTCGCATATATTTTTGACACTTTTATTGTTACTAAAAACTTGAACACTTTTCAATGTATATGTATATATACTGAATAATTTATTTGACATGTATTGCAGCTTTAGTACATCTTTTCAAGGACTATTTCTCATTCATTATTGATTCACTTATCATTTATCCTCCCACCTTTGATGACATTTATCTGTACAACTTCCACATTAATTTTGAGGGCATTTGATGTAAATAATGTATATATGTTTCCTTAGTCCTTGAACAGCCCTTAGCCAGGCCTCTTTGGCTGTGTCAGTTTTTCTGGTCTCCTGATATTTAAAGAATCCTGTTCTTGCTCTGTGATGTTTACTTGGAATATGTTGTGATAACAGTGACTAATTTACCGATATGGTATGAAAGCAATCAAATATAAAGTAAACAAACTGAGATCTCATGCTAAAACAATTAGCATAATATATCATTCTGATTATAATGTGAACATGTGTTTGGGTTTTTTTTGTTTGTTTGTATGTTGTTTAACGTCCCTCTCGAGAATTTTTCACTCATATGAAGACGCCGCCACTTGCCGGTAGAGAGCTGCAAATTTTGTCCTATACTCGGCACTTACGGCCATTGACCAGTGAGGGATCTTTTTTCGTGCCAGCACTTACTGCGACACGGGACCTCGGTTTATACGGTATCATCCGAAGGACCGGTCTCCACGTCCCACACTGGGATTCGAACCCGCGAAGTAAGGATCAACTCCTTACTTCGCGACTCTAGAGCAGACGCTCTAACCACTGCGCCACGCGGGCGACTGTGAACATGTGTGATTTTGATAACAACATATGAGAACTCATACATGTACAGCTGACATATCATACTAATTAATTAAAGTTTGATGATTTTTGATGAAGACAATCTTTCATACAACTCTTTTAATTTCATACAAATGAATTCAATCATTTTGTATAACAAATTTACAATTTGTATTTAAACACTTTGATATTTCCTCCTCTATATACCATTCATGTGAAAGAATTCTATAATAATTTATGTATGTTACACTATAATTTACACTGTGTATTGAAATACTTTAACAAGTCCTTCACTGTATCCCACCCGAAGTGTAGACTTATATAGGGACAGAGAGACTGGACTGTTCACTTCGTTGTCTGTCAGTAAAAACTTCAAAAACTTCCCATCAGCACTCAGCAGATGAATTTGTTCATTGTAAGAGTCATTAAGAAGGATGTTACAGAGGGAGTCACACACTACATCAGCATGAGTAAAGTTCTCTGTCATGTTCTGTCCACGGAAGACAGACTTCATACGACCAGAGGAAGACATAATTAATAGTTCACCTGTAGTGTTATTTGCATGGTTCACAACACAAATATCACTGTTACTGCTCTGTGTGACTCTGAGTGGTAATGTAACCAACCTGGTCTGACCGTCCTCCTGGTACTCATATTCATGGATGACATCACCTGTCACTGTGATGTGTCTCACCAGACGTCTAATGTGTGACTCTAATTTGTAATGATCTATTAATTCCATGTCTTTCAAGGTGACCAGTAGTCCACCGTCTTCTTACTGACAGATTCCTACTGGTACCAGTGGATCTGTACTGGTGACTGTAGAGACAAATCCTGATGGTGACAAACAGCTGATGGACTTGTTTTAATAATCAGTGAAATAAATATCACTGATATCAATCACACACATGTCATTAAGAAAAATACTAAATTTATGTTCTTTAATGCCTTGCTGATTAACTTTCTCTATATACTTTGATCCAAATTTATTTATGTAACATTGGTCTTCACTGGATGTCTCCAAGGAAAATATTGTTCTATCTCCATATTGATATGGGTTTATCTGAGTCACATCAATGTCATCTTAATTCAAAGTTTTTCCAACCACAGACTCGAGTAAGTCATGATTGATTTCACCTCTAGTGAACCTCAATGATTGTTCACAGTTTGTCATTTTAACCTCCAATTCAGACAGCATTTTTGTTAGTTCTCTGTGGTTGTCAATCAAGCTGTAATCTGACATGGTGCTGTTGTTCTCCTCCAAGAATTCCACAGTGTCAATAATTCCTCTGTTCTTCTTGTCTAACTCAGTTTTCACTTGGTTCAATTGATCATTCTTTTTAACCAGGTTGTCTCTCAATCTTTGTTCCTGGCGTTTTTTGATTTCTGTTAGCCTGGCCATTATCTCATCATAATGCTTCTGTAGCTTTTTCATCTCAGACTCACACAGTTCTATATTTTCTTTAATCTGTTGTGGAATTTTCTCTTCTCATCAATCCCAGACAGATCCTCTTCCTTAATCTTTTTTCAGAAATGTAAGTAGAACTCTCCTCCTTTGGTTGGCTGCGGTGGGTAGAGTGTTCCAATCATGATCTCTATGATCTGTTTTGGCACATTTACCACAAATGAATTTATCACAGTTCACACATAAAATATCAATTGGTAATTAATGGGAATCACACATTTTGATGTGCGCTAGAGGTGAGCCCAATGAATATTCTTCTGAGTTACTTTCAGCCATGATTGTTTGGTATAGCCAACTTGGTAATGACGTTGTTTTTAGTGTGCTAGTGTATGCGTGTTAGATAACTACCAGGATTGTGAAGTTGGACTTTAAATTTATCAAAAGACAACTAGATATACAATAAATGTTGAACATACACGTGTCTACTAGCTGTGACATTAACATGACACATTGAATTTAACACATAAAAAATTGATACAAATACAATTTTTCAGATGTTTAAGTCATTTATGAATTAAATATAAAAAGACTGTAAATTTTCTTCTCCAGAATCATGAAAATCACTCGGTCAATATCAAGCAAACTTGCCAAAATTGATAATGCATGCAAAAGAAAATATTTTATTCAAATGAAGCCCTACTGCCCTCTTTTCAGGTGAGTTTTTTTTTTAAATTGGAAAATTTGGTCACATCATTAAAAAATCTTCTATGCTTTAAGGCCAATTGGCCAAAAAATGCAATCTTACAGACATTGTGTAGATTCAATTTTAATCAGTACATACATGTAGCTCCTGGGGTAAAGGGTTGGCCCACAGAATGGATTCAAATTTTTTACTTACAAAATAGAGGAAAAAAATCTTCTCAAGACCAGCAGGGTCCTGATTAGGTATATTAATAATCAAGCATTATCGTGTAGTGCTAGTGCACCTTGAAGTGTTCACGAATCATAGTCCCTTGGGTTGGTTTTTTGATTGGGAGAACATGAGTTCAAGTCACAGCCATGACAAACCTTATTTAATATGAAATAGGTAGCAACTTTTCCTTTGCACTAGGGAAGTTTACATACAGTGTAGGATATGGGGATTTTTAAAAAACAAAATTGTTTTAGGTTTGTTTTTTTTTTTTTTTTGGATTTATGACATTATAATTTTGTCGTAAATTGATAATCTATGAATTTCAAGAAATGTTGAAAAGTCCTGGCCCCAGGATCATGAAACATCTTAAGCTTGAGTCAAAAATTTTATGTTGTATAAAAATGTTGTAGTAGCCAAGCAGACAAAAATTAAAATATTTTTCAATATTGCTTCACAATAGTGTTGTTATCTGCAAATTTAGAGATTAATTCAATAATTAATAAACATTTTACAGCCGTTTGAAAATTTGACTTAAGTCTAAGTCTGTTTCATGATCCTGGGGCCTGGAGTCTATATATCTGTTAAGGGATGGGCGGTCCTAAAAAGGACTCACTTTGATAAATGTAAATACATTAGCACACTCAAAATTAAGGGCATTCTATCTTTTCTACTGATTAGCGCAATCATAAATTAGTGCACTTGTGACTTTAAAACAAATTGTATCTATAGTTAAATCAAATATAAGGGTAAAGTTTACCCTTAAACTAATACAATTCTGAATAAATTAATGGACAAGTAGCATGAAAGATGCTTAAATATTATTAAGACTAAAATAAGTATTTTACAGTATGTTTGTCTATCATAGAATTGCTTATGTAGGACTCTATTTGTCTGTTGTATGGTGCAATTATATCCATGTGAGACTGTGTCTGTCTATTGAAGGACTCACTATCTCTGAATAAATATACAGCACTACACCATATCAATTTAAAACAATCCCTTGTATGACTGAAAATGTGTTCCAAAGGATTGCTCTGTTTTACCGTGTCCTTGTTGAAAAATTGTAGACAAATCATCAGAATTGCTTGAAAGTTTAAAGTACTACAAACGAAAAAAAGCACACAAAAAGACATGGGATGCATTAAATACTTTTATTTATTATATTCCACATAAGAAAATCTGCAAGTCTTGAAATAAAGAACTATAAAGGTTTGGCATAAAAGCTTACAATTGAGTAACATGTACACTTACAGGTACTCCTCAATAATCTTTAATTTTTTTTCCCAAAATCATGTCTTTGATAAAACTTTCAGCAATATGTACAAGTGTTCCAGTCTCTATTAATTCTTGGTAGTTGATTCCTTCAATACCATAACTTCGGTATTGTATCAACAAACAAACAGATGCCATTTGTCTCAATCTTATTGAGAAAAAACACTGATAATTCATCTGTCCAATGTTTATCTTGGAATAACTCCAAGCCAAGTCACTCCCAAGTTCAAGTTATAAAACTTTCAAGAGTTGTCACTGGGGAATCCAAACACTTTAACGGTACCTGCATCCCGATTTCTGTCGTATGTGTCTCTATAATCACATGCATAAGGCAGTAGAGGGCGCTTTGGGTGCCAGACAACAGTAAACGTAGGAGCTTCACAGGTAATCTCTGTTGTTTTCTCACCTGTAAATGATGGATCATTTATAGTTCACTGACCATTGAATATTTCATTTCAGTGAAAAACAAAGGCTGCAGAGGAATTAATTTGCATTGACTTCTACGAAGTATCTTCATTCATTTTTGTAGATTCACAAACTTTATATGTCTATTTTATACAAATATATATGTATATATGGAACAATGCCTTTCTTGTTTTTAATGAGTATGAATGGTTGAAATCATTGTAGAAAAAAATTGGAGTTGGTTATGTTTTTCCCCCTTAAAATATTGCAACCATTCATCCACTTATTAACAAAGAAAGCATTTTATTATTTAAGATATTATGCATGTATGGTAAACAAACGACAAATTCTACTTTTTTCCCAGATTCTGGTTTCAGAAAGCAGTTGTCAGCACAAACTCAGCACCACCCAGTCACCTCTGCTAACTTGGTGACAGGTTGTAACACTGATATCTGTATGTCTGTTCTACCTGACCAGGGACGGTCTCAGCCTGACCAGATTGTGTTAAGACAACTGTAATGTACCTCACTCATATGACTCGGGACAAAGACTCTACACCCCGTGCTGTGATAAGGGGGCACCTGTCACCAAAGTTAGCAGGTCAGCTTAGTGTCTGTGCGAGTCTCTAACCTTTTACCATTCATCATTAACCAGATTCTAAACTTACTACACAAAGATTAGCCATCACACAGTAGTCAATATAATGGGAGAAATAAGTCCTAAAGGACAACCAAAACAGCATAATATAAATAGGCAAACTTTTCTGTCAAAACTGTTCTAATGACATATCAATTTGAAAATACCATCTGCAATGTTTAAATGGCATCCACTTTTATTAATTTTACAAGACTGGTTGAAAATTATTGTTATTTATAAGATAATCTTCTGGCAAAAAGATGTCTTACCGCTAAACATACAGATTTACAAGTTAATTCCAGCTCCATCCACCATTCCCCCCCCCCCCCAATTTCATTTGCCATGAGAAATGAAATGCTTACTAAATTCATCTACATATATCTGGACAATTTTCAAAAACTTGGAATCTGTAACACTAAGTCATCATAAAAATGAATCCAGGTGTTGTGTTTTGTCATACCTGAGTCTGCCTCTGTGATATCTATGTTTACCTAAGTTGACATCTGTGATATCTATGTTTACCTGAGCCAACCTCTATGAAATCTATGCTAACCTGAATCGACCTCTCCAACATCTATGTTTACCTGAGTCAGCCTCTGTGATATCTATGTTTACCTGAGTCAACCTCTGTGTTATCTACCTGAGACATCTTCTGTGATATATGTGTTTACCTGAGTCAGCCTCTGTGATATCTACCTGAGTCAACCTCGTGAAATCTACTTGAGTCTACCTCTGTGATGTCTATGATGAAATCCTCTGAGGCTAACATTCTGCCGTCGTGACTGAAGCTTAACGTTCTCACTGTTCACTCTAACCTGAAATATACGAGGATCCAAAAAATACTTTTTTCACACTCAAAACGGATTTTATCTTAACTATGTGCAAGCATTTTGGAAGGTAGAGATATATTCAAGAACCAGCTATTAATAAAGCGCAGCTACAAAGTCGACATAACTCGTGAACAGAATTGTGTGAAATGTGTGAAAAAAATATCATACAATACACTAAAAAAGTTTTCAGTGAATTATGTTGAAAAACACATGTAACAAAGATGTCTAGGAATGAAGAATTCTTACTTATTAGACTTTCTATGAGAGATTTCTAATTTTAT